TATCAATGAGGGCCCTGGGAAAAAAAAAAATATATTATATATATATATATATATATATATATATATATATATATATATATATATATATATATATATATATATATATATATATATATATATATATATATAAACTGCATGATTATTGTTGTAGATTTGTACCTTTGAGAAATATAATTTAACAGTTTAAATGACGTGCAAATCTCAGGCAATCATGTTTGTCAAGGAAGCGCAGTTCAGCTTTTAAAGAAAAAAATACAAGTTTACCAGAAATATACAGAAATACGTCCCATGGCTACCTCATAACCAGAACAAAACAAAAAAGAGGCCCGTCTATTTAAAAGAAAAAAGCAAATAGAGTCGTAAGACCTAAAGCACGGCATTTCAGATGATCAAAATGGCAGTTAACTGCTCAACAGGAATCAATTCAACGATTTTGAGGTATTAGGTAAAACTGGAATAAAACTGTGTTTAAATCGGCAGTGTTTTTTTTGGTCGTTTGGTTTTTCCAGATAAAGCGTGAGGACATGGACGCGTCCTTTCCACAAACCACAAACATGTTTACCAGAGAAGGCTTTTTCACATGCAAAGGGATTTTGCCTTTGACCAGCTAGTTATAAAGATGGAAATATGTAAACAAAGGTTAGATACAAACAACAGTGTTATATGTGAGCTGGTTTCTATTTCCTGTGAATCAAATAACATCAATAAAGCCTATATATGACCTGCACTAGATGTCTTCGACGTGAACAATATGCATAGTAGAACAATTTCCTTGCACATTACTTACCTATTATGGTCTGCACTCAAATGTTGCTGGAGAATCATTGCTTATCAGTTACATGCAGTTGAGCCATTTTTTAAGTTGTTGCTGGGATTGGTCAATTTAGCGGGCCCCGGCCCGGTTTACTGTTATTGCCGCACCGAATTCAATTAACCCATATATAAGTACTTCAATACAGAGGCAGTGGGTGTTCCGTGTTTTCTCCATTAATCGTCTGGTATCGAATAAACCATGAAAATGACTTACAACATTCTCCTTTTAGCGGGGGCTCGTCTTTAGGGCACCGGAATCCTTTTTTTTCTTTCGGTTTTTGGTGTTTTGTGTGCACAGCTCAGAAAAGACAACCAGTTCAATGACCACACAACAGTTCAAGAACCCCGCCAGTAGTTCAATGACCACACAACAGTTCAATAACCCCGCCAGTAGTTCAATGACCACACAACAGTTCAATAACCCCGCCAGTAGTTCAATGACCACACAACAGTTCAAGTACCCCGCCAGTAGTTCAATGACCACACAACAGTTCAATATCCACGCCAGTAGTTCAATGACCACACAACAGTTCAATATCCACGCCAGTAGTTCAATGATCACATAAGCAGTTTAATGACCACTATGCTGAAAGTAGTGCAAAAATTTAGCGGGCACTGAGTCTCACATTCAACTCTACGTACATTAAGGAAAACGATAACCAAAAACTTGCTTATATAAATTAAAAGATTCGTTCTGTTAAACATTTTCTTAGATTAAGGTATCCCCTCCTGTTTAAAAAAAAAAAAAAAAACCTTTTCCTAAAAGTAGTATACCTTAAGAAAAGAAATGCTGCCGTAGGCAAGGAACAGTAAAGAAATGGATTAGAAGAAGGTGATATGAGGCTAAGAGCGCTATCCAAAATTTTTGTGATGACCCAAATTTGGAAATTGTCTTCCTTCTGGGTACGTTTAAGGTGACTCCAACTTAATTATGATCCAATTTTAGTATTTTTCTAACGTGCTCGCGTCGCGTCAGAAGTGGCCGGATAATTCTCGATTTTGGATATGTATAAGTTCAGTCATTCTTGTTTTCAAAAGTTTTGATTTGGCGATACAAGCAAATTTACTAACTAAGAACACAAAGTCACCTCTGCAAATTAAATTGGCCTAGCAACCATGTCACGAATCAAACGCCAACAATATGTATGCTTTGTATCCAGGCCTGCATAAATGAGGCGAGGGCGCTTCGCAAACAAAATGGCGGAAAGCGGGAAAGAAAACAGGGAGGGAA